GGCAGGGGCAGATTTTAAGTAAATGACGTAATGTAGATTCTCTTCGAAAAATTTGATCCTGAGGTGGGGTCGGGATGCGCGGGAGGGCTGGACAGCAGAGATGCAGGACAGCTCGGGGTAATTGATGTACTTCCCTTATATTTGGGACGGTTACCCATTAGTTTCGTGACAGCATGTTTCACAAAAACATGATGTTCGGTTGCGAAACGAGTCAGGGGCGATGGGACGTTCCCGCTTTGGCATGTGCGAGATCCGAGCAACCTTAAAGATCGAAGAACTAAGGAGTGAGTATAAATTGAGCCTTGTCTGCAATTCATACCATCGGGAGGCTGCTTCGTCTCCGCCACCGCGAGGCTTTTTTCTAAGCATGCTTAAATGCAACATGGTCGTTTTTTGTATTTATTGTGTTTGCTTTACGGAGTGCCTGCTTTCATGAAAGTTTTAAAGAACGGGGGGGGGAGGAGGTTACAAAGTTGAGGATCGAAGCCACAACAAGACAGAGCACGGGGAGTAGACAGTGAAAGGATGAAAACGGCAGGCGGGCACCTGTGTTTTGTTGCTATGACATATATCAAGACTTTGCGCAATTGCTGGCTCTTTCATAGGTCCATACGACAGGAAAGAGATTTACTCGGGGGTGCGTGAACCTCGCAACTTGCGGCACACTCTTCTTTCCTCTTCCTTCTTTGCTGAGTGTTTTGAGCCATTACTATCTCTTTCTCAATGCAACAGGGGCATTCATGGTGGCTTCGTCATATCCTCATCCCTCTGTAACCGATGATACGGCATGCGCTCTGACTGCGATCGAGGAGGAGCGTCTCGCGAACATAAAGAAGAACCATGCCGTCCTCGTCTCTGTGGGCCTAGCTTCCCATGGCCTCGCTGCATCTCGTCCGAAAAATAACTTCAGCAGCCTAAAAGGTGTGCATAGGCTCAAACGCCCTCCAAAACCACCTACCCTGCCAACACGGCGATCCATTCGCAACTTAGGTCGGGACGCGCCCGATTACAAAGAAGATAGTATTTCGTATGCCTTGACATCGTCTCCTCCAGCTTTTACCGTGGGTCCTCGTCATAAATGGAATGCAGAGGAGGATGCCGCGTTTTCCGATAAGGCTTGGGATGCACCGTCCAAGGCAGTATTGGCAAGCACTCCCACAGGGCGTACAACAACTCCTGGAAGCTCACGCACCCGGACGGCGGATGTTTCTCGCCTTGCGGAGTACTTGGGAAAGCCGGTACCTTATACCGGAAAACAATGCGTCATGGACTTGATAAGTCCAGCAAATGAAGATGGACAAGGCCCCGTGAAGTTTAGTAAATATGCTGGGGTTGTGGAATGGCGAAATTGCGTGGTTTTGTGGGTGAACGCCGACGGGCATGACTACGAAAACTTGTTTCTGGGGGAGGGACGACAGATGACATGGTTTGCGGGTAGCCGCGTTACTGCCGAAACGCCGGTTATGCTCCGGCTGCTAGCGGCGGGGAGGATGAGGAAGGAAGAGGAGCGAAAAACGAGAGAAGGTGAAATTATACAAAGCAGGGGGGCGGGGTCGGAGCCTGCAGAGATTCGAGAAGAGGGGGGGGGGCAGGAGGACATATTGTTGTTTTGCAGCTCCATAAGGGGTGCCAGGCCACCAAAAGTGACCGTATTACGGCTATTTATGCTCATGGTAGACTGTGTGTGCATGGTGTGGAGGTATACGTGGATATTTTGATGAGTTTTCCGTGAAGATGGAAATGGAGGGAGGGGTGGGGAGGTGGGGAGTGGACGAGTTTGTTCCTGTAGGCGCTCGAGCTCGCCATGCCCCTATGGAGCCTATTCTAATGATTAAAATATCGTCTTTTCAATCATGTCCTATATACCTACACTTCTCTCAAGTAAATCCCCTTGTAAAGCATAGGGTTCCTTGTTTGATACGAAAAAAGAGAACACCAAAATCGCAACGCCAGCGGTGTGCCTTCCGCCTCGGCTTGCTTCCTCGTGACACTTTGGGAAGAATTTGGTGCAAATAGCAAGAACTTTGAAAATTTTGACATTCAGTTGAACGTTGTATGCTGTATGGCATGTAATATTGTGGTTTGGCGTTTACTCCTGATGGATCTCCGTCCCTTTTCTTAGTGTGAGTCCTGGGGCTCGCTGGGCAATTAAACCTCTGACTGCTCGCCAACTTTGATTCAAGCATGGCTTCCGTCTGCCACCCATGCTGATGTAACAACCCTACGTACTTACACAGACTCGAACTCGTCTGTATCAAATCTCCCATTTTGAGTGCCAGTACTTCCATTTGCCCTAATTTCTGGCCTCCCCCGCGCAAAGACGCATGGCCTCTGCACCGGCAAGGCCCTACCATCGCCAATCCCTATGGGCAAACCCCTCCTCGCTACTGCTCTCTTTGGCATTTGCCGCATTCGCAGTTGCCTTCCATGCTCTTTTCATGACACCGTGGCTGGAGGCACGAGCCGCTCGGTTGCGTGGAGGCTGGGCTCGGGAGTCTATGGACGAGGAGTCTTCGATAAGACACGGAGGATGTGATTTTTTGAGGCTTGACGCGGCTGTTCTCGACACGGACACGTTTGAGCACCTGTACAGGGGACAACGCCCGGTAGTACTGTCGTCGTCAACGAGTCTGGCGGCGTTTTGGAATCAGCCTCGGTGGCCATTCGTGCAGGAGGAGAAGGAGGTGCAGATGGAGGCGTGGGGACGAGACCGGCTTCTAAAGCGGCACGGAAAGAACCTGACTGTGCTGGTAGGGGGTTGGGAGGCTTGGGAGGGGCAGACCAAGGCCGGCATGTTTGCCTTGGGAAATGGGGTTGGCGGTGTCCGACTGCCTTTACAAGAGTTTGTGCACAGGTACCTGGACCGCCCGGGTGGCGCGGCCGGTGGAGACGCAGGCGCCGAGGAGGCCGTGAAGGACTTTGCGCACACCGGCACAGTTTCATGGGCCTTGGAGGACCTCCCCAGGGACCTGGCAGATGCGGTTTGTACCCCCAAATTGTTCGACGCATGGGCCGGGGAGGAAATGACCTGGTCGGGCAGGAAAGGCCAGGGGGAAGAGGCATCCAGGAACGGAAAAGACAATGGGAAGGAAGAGGCAGGCCGTGTCCGCATCGCGCTGGGCAAGTCTCGGGGAGGACGGGGTTGGAGTGTGTCGGAGAGGGAGAGCTGGTCAGGCCTCATGTTCGGAGGCGCCGTCCTGCACTACCTATACCCCCCGGGGCGTGGCCTCCGGAACCTGACGCTCCAAGGAAGGGGCCACCCGCTCCTGGGCCCCTTGGAATGGGCGACAGGCACGTTGGGCGTATTGGAGCACTACGACGGGGTTCGGGGGCCCGGGGGGGGGATCATGGACCCGCCGCCCTTGCAATGCTGGCAAGGACCAGGGGACCTCGTGTACGTGCCGCCGGGCTGGAAGAGCATGCGGGTGCACGTTGGGGA